GTAGGCACGGACCCCGGCGCTTGGGGTTCCAAGCGTCTCAACCAACTTTATTGAGAACAGCAGCATCTTATACGGGCAGTTCAAAAAGTAATAAACCATCCTCAGCCAATCACATCCAAGTACTTCAAGGAGCCTGTGCAATAGAGTATCAGGAACTACATTTCCCATAGTGCTCCTCGGCATTCTTCCTGTGACACTGACCGCCACAGAGAATGACTGGAAAAGAGTGTCTAGGAAGCTATCTGGTGGAAAAGAACCCGGAGGTGCTCGACAGCCAGCTGAACATGAGCCAGCAGCGTGCCCAGGAGGCCAAGAAGGCCAATGGCACCCTGGCTTGTATGAGAAATTATGTGGCCAGCAGGGCCAGGGCAGTGATTGCCCCTCTGTAGTCAGCACTTGGGAGGTCTCACCTCAATCCTGTGTTCAGTTTTGGGCCCCTCACCACAACAAAGATGCTGAGGTGCTGGAGCGTGTCCAGAGAAGAGCAACTGAACTGGCGAAGGGTCTGGAGCACAATTCTGTGAGGAGCAGCTGAGAGTGCTGGGGTTTTTTAACCTGGAGAAAAGGAGGCTCAGAGGAGACCTTACTGCTCTCTACAAATATCTTCCTTTCAAGGAGGTTGTACCAAGGTGGGGGTTGCTCTACAGAGGAAATGGCCTCACCTCAAGTTGCACCAGGGGAGGTTTAGATTGGATATTAGGAAAAATTTCTTCATGAAAAGGGCTGAACAAGTGTTGGAACAGACTGCCCAGGGAAGTGGTTGAGTCACCATAACTGTGGGTATTTTAAAGACATGTTAACATGGCACTTATGGACATGATTTAGTGGTGGACTTGGTAGCGTTAGGTTTGTGGTTGAACTTGATGATCTTAAGGGTCTATTCCAACCTAAAAGATTCTATGATTCTAAAAATTGAAAGCCTTATAACATCAGAGTGGATAATAGAGTGGGAATCCTCTCACCTCTTTTAGATATAGCAAATGTCAAATAGTACAACTTTTGCTGATTTTTCTTCTGACTGACATCAGATGCTTTCAGGTAGGAGACACACGAACTGGGAGATCCTGACCTGCAATCAAAGCCCAATGGCCTGCCTCAGCCAACTTCTCAGGGAAGAGAGTGCAAGTTGAAAATGGATTTGAGTCCTGCAGGATCACAGAGTCTCCTGAGAAAGAAAAATGCTTGGGTGTTTATGTAGTTATGCAACTATTGCAAATTCCTACTTCTGGAGTGTGAACTTATGTTCACAGTTGAAAGGACTTAATGGATCACCAGAATTTTCGCACAATTTTATGCGTGGAGACTGAAAACTTTCAGGGTAATGTTGTATGAAAAAATTTGGTTTCTTTCCACTTTGAGTCAGTTTTTGAGATGGTTGGTCTGTGGAAACTAAGCCTGAGTCTTCTTGGGCTTCTCCAGGAAAGACACTCTACTGGCCACTGTTTGTTGCCATGTATGGCCTATACGTGGTTAAGTATCTAACAGTTACTCAATATGTATATAGCTAACTTCTGTATTACTGATTTGTCCTCCCTGCCCAGGGCCTTCCAAGACCCCAGACATACACCACCAAAGAGGTAATATCCATGAAAATTAAATACTGGTATCAGAAGAAACACATTTTGTGATCCCTGTTGTCAATTCACCCTTGGCTTGGCTGCTGTTGAACTGAGGAAGTGGGACATTGACCTTCAATGAAATAGCTTTGATGTGCAACACCAGTGCGGCCAGAGACCAGGTTCTGTTCTCTAAGAGTTAACACTGAAGAAACCAGCTATGAAACTATAAAGAAGAAGCCAAATGCAAATCTTTGTGTTAAAAAACAGTGCAGGTGCTCCTCAGAGAGAGTCTGCATAGTTATCTCAGAACTCAGGAGTCTCACATGAGACGACCTTGTTTATATGAATTTTGTGGTTAAGCCTCATAAATTGCCAGGTGCCACCTGGATTTGAGAGTTCTGTATTGTGTTTAGTTCAAGTAACCTGTGGTTAGCACCAGGGTCATACTGGGAGCACAGAGGGACAGTGAGATAAACAGCACTACGTTGTCTTTAAAAAGCAGAGGGAACACAGAAAGAGTGAGAGCATGCATGAGAGAGCAAACAAGCTTGACATTTGGAGCAAACTGGGCAGACATAGCAGCAGCTCTACAAACTGACAGCAAGCTGAAGGTAGGCTAGTAGTATTAATGACAGCATCCCAGATGCTTGTAGGACATCCTAGTGTTGGTTCCTTTTCCTGGTGTAATGTGCAAGTCAAGATTTTATTTTATACATGCTTTGTCACTTCGGAGGTTGTTCTGTTCATTTTGGAGACACTTTCTATAAAGCAAGGTCTTCCTTGATGTGAACAAAAGTGTTGCAAACTTGCTTGTCTTCAGAAGTGTATGAAATACTGTGATCTGGGGAGAAAAGGGATTTCTTTTCCCTTTTCAAGATAAAAGGAGGCAATACTGAACACAGCTGTTTGACTCTATTAAATAACCATGGCAGGAGATTCATGCCTGTGGTTCCCTCCATAAGAATTTGAGTGTGGTAGGCAGTGAGAAAAAAGATGTGACCCCCAACTAGAATAACAGAACACAGGCAAATTTAGCATGAGTAGCATGAGTAGCAGGAAATATTCCTAGCATTGGAAATATTTCTAGCTCTCCTAAGGGAGCTGCTGAATTCTCCATTGCCTGGGAGCTAGGCAATTCAAAGTGTTTGATAAGTAGCCTGTTGGCAACAATTAACTACTGCAGAAGGTGAAGATCACATGACCTCAGAGGGCTTCTTTGTCATTAATTTCTTCCAGAACATGTTCAATGAAAGAGAGAAAAAAAGAATGTTTAAACTTTTCTTTAGCAGGAGTAAACCCTATCTGATTCATTTGAGCTGGTGATTAATAACAAAGGTCAGGTCATGGGTTTGGAGATGAGTATGGCACTACAGTGGCACTTACTCAAAGAGTTAGAAGAGTAAAGAAAGTATTAAATATTTTACTCTAAATGTACTCAGTGCTGGCTGTTTCTTTGCAATGACTTAGATACCACCCAGAAGAGGAATTGCTCATGATTTGAGAGATTCTGAAGGTGCTGTTGTGGATGGTGAAATTACACAAAATTGCATAGGGTGCTATGTAGAATAAAAGAATCTGTGAACAGTATAGGGCAACCAGCTATTCACTTACTCTGCAGGTGGTAGGAACACAGAACTATTCAGGGGCAAATGGGTTGCTGCTCAGTGGATAAATTTTACTAAGTCAGTCACAGGATGCAGCCAAGAAAGTGAGGCAGTGGTAATGCTCTGAATACATCTGTGCACAGCTGCACATCACAGAACTAGGAACAGCAGAATACAAGCAAGCGTGTTGCCGGGCTGGATTGGTGATGGACAGCAGGGGACTGCAGTGCAGACAGAGATATTTAGTAGCACAGGCACCTGGATGGAACAATGTGTGCAGATGGGGGCAGTCGTATGGGCAGCTTGTTCTCGGTGGGATGGAATGAAGAGAAGCTGGGAACCTAAATTTTAGTTGCCAAGGCCTAATGAAAGATTTTGAAGTAAATCTCAGCTCTTCAGGAAAGAGCTAAGCATACTGATATGTCATTCTGGATGTGGAACTTAATTAATTCATGCAGTCCCTTTCCAAATGGACTCTGAAAGTCTGTGCTGAAATGATGCTTTATCAAAAGGTTATAAATGAAATAATCTCAGAAACACCCTGGGCATTATCACTTTAGACCATGACTTGGATGTATTTCTTTATGAAGGACACTTCCTGAAGAGACACTGAACTAAGGTTTCTAGCAAGTTATGTGGATTGCTAAGTGATGATATAATCTGTTAAAGCAACCACAGCCATACCCATGTGATTTCTAGTTCTAGTACACTGTCTTAATGTGCAGTTTTCCTCATTTTTATTACTCACACCAGTCGAATCAGTAAAAACAAAATAAATCAGAAAACATAATTGAATTTTCTCTTACTGTTTGTTTACTTTGTGCACTTTTCATAGCCAGGTAATGAAAAATATGTTAGTTACTCTTGTTGTTTCTACATGATTTTATTTTCTGAGGCTGATGCAGTAGCAAAAAGTTTCAGTGTTTGAGGTGAAAGTCTTGCATTTACTTTTATACACACCATATTTCCATGGAAACCACATTGATACTACTTTTGGTTGTACCTCTATGAAAGCTAAAATTGGGGTCAAATTTAAACAGACATTTTCAGCTTTCCAGTACCAGTAATCCTTACAGAGAGAGTTCTCAGCAGGGTACTTAAACAGATGAGTAGTGTACAATCTATAAATATTTTCTCTATGTCAAATTGCAGCCAGTATACATTTCCATATCTCCTTTAGAATTCAGGGAACTGTAGCGCTTTGCAGCAATAGATGATACACTCTTCCTGCTTTAATGGAGCTACTCACATTCATTAAGCACAGGCTAAAGCACCTTACAAAACCGGAGCCTGAATAAAGTTTACACTGGGATTGAGTAGTATGTGCTGCCCACGTGGAATGGCATGTATTAGACACTTCAGACCAGATTCAGAACAAGTAGTGTGAGAGGAATGGTCTTGCTGATTTAGATAATACAGCACAAGACAGACAATATTGTACCTTTCAGACACCAGTTTCACATAAAAAAATCATCAACTTTCAGAATTTAATTCTGTTGTCTGTAATAGCTTTACTTACAGTAAGTTCGGTCAGGCATAAGAAGGAAGGGGGCAGATTTGGATAATTATACCAGATTGGCGATCTAATAGACACTTAATGCATCAGGATCAAAGTCAAAACACAACTGGGTATTTATCTGAGATATTGAATGGTCAACCTTGTTGGAACCTCTCAGTTCAGTAGGTGTCTTGGATGAGTAAATTACTTTCAAAGCATTTCTCAGTTAAAGTGATTAGAACTGTTCTATTAAAACCCATAACATTACTGTTAATTTGGAAAATAAGCTAACCTACATCTTTCTATTTATCAGGTGATCTGGTTTCTGTCAGATTGAAGATGTCACTAGCATCCCAAATGGATCTACCTGAAGAAATTCAGCATCCATATACAAAATTTTCTGAATGGAAATTCAAGCTCTTTAAAGTGCGATCATTTGAAAAAATGCCCTCTGATGACAGGCAGCACATAAACAAAGATCAGGCAGAAGGGATTGCTTCTTCAAACAAAGAAATCATACTGCATAAAGATGAAGCAGTGTCAAGAGAAGAAAAGATGGAGTTAATGAGCAATAGGCAGGCACTTGAGAAAGAGGCCCATGACATGAAAACACGAGACAATAGAGCTCATCAGAACAATCTGAAGCAACTTTGTCGCATCTGTGGAGTTTCATTTAAAACTGATTGCTACAAGAGAACTCATCCAGTGCATGGGCCAGTGGATGATGAAACTCTGTGTCTTCTGAGAAAGAAAGAAAAAAAAGCAACCTCTTGGCCAGATCTCATTGCTAAGGTTTTCAAGATTGATGTGCGAGGGGATGTTGATACTATCCATCCCACTCGGTTTTGTCACAACTGTTGGAGTACTGTCCACAGAAAATACAGTAATACCCTGTGTGCAGTATATTTTCCTAGGAACAGCATGATGGAGTGGCAACCTCACTCCCCAAACTGTGATGTATGCCATACTACCAGTCGAGGGGTCAAGAGAAAAAGCCAGCCATCAAGTGTACAACAAGGCAAACGTGTGAAGACCGTTGTGGAACGTGCTCGACTAAACAGAGGTGTAAAGAACCAGGCACAGATAAAAAACAAAAATGTAATGAAAGAGATTGTCAATTGCAAGAATATACATCTCAGCACCAAGCTGCTTGCACTTGATTACCCAGTAGATTTCATTAAATCAATTTCTTGCCAGATTTGTGAGCATATTTTGGTAGACCCAGTGGAAACAACATGCAGACACTTGTTTTGCAGAACTTGCATCCTTAAATGTATCAAGGTTATGGGCAGCTATTGCCCCTCCTGCTGGTATCCTTGCTTCCCTACTGATCTGGTAACCCCAGTGAAATCCTTCCTGAACATCCTTGATAGCCTGGGTATAAGATGCCCTGTAAAGGAATGTGATGAAGAGATTTTGCATGGAAAATATGGCCAACACCTCTCCAACCACAAGGAGATGAAAGATAGAGAGCTCTATAGCTACATAAATAAAGGTGGCCGACCAAGGCAGCATCTCCTATCTTTGACAAGGAGAGCTCAGAAACATCGTCTAAGGGAACTGAAACGTCAAGTCAAGGCTTTTGCTGAGAAAGAAGAGGGTGGTGATATAAAGGCTGTATGCATGACTTTGTTCCTTCTAGCTTTAAGAGCAAAGAATGAACACAGACAAGCAGATGAATTGGAGGCTATAATGCAAGGGAGGGGATCTGGACTTCATCCTGCTGTCTGTCTGGCAATCCGAGTCAACACGTTTCTCAGCTGTAGCCAGTACCATAAAATGTATAGAACTGTAAAAGCTGTCACTGGGAGGCAGATCTTCCAGCCCTTGCATGCTCTTCGCACTGCTGAGAAAGCCCTCCTGCCAGGTTATCACCCATTTGAGTGGAAACCTCCCTTGAAAAATGTATCCACTAATACAGAAGTAGGAATTATAGACGGTCTATCAGGATTGCCACTCTCAGTTGATGACTACCCAGTAGACACAATTGCAAAGAGATTTCGATATGATGCAGCCTTGGTTTGTGCCTTAAAGGACATGGAGGAGGAGATCTTGGAAGGCATGAAAGCAAAATATCTGGACGACTATTTGAATGGTCCCTTCACTGTAGTAATAAAAGAGTCCTGTGATGGAATGGGAGATGTCAGTGAGAAGCATGGAAGTGGGCCTGCTGTCCCAGAGAAGGCTGTTCGCTTTTCGTTCACAGTTATGAACATTGCTATAGCACATGGGAATGAAAGCAAGAGGATCTTTGAGGAAGTAAAGCCAAATTCAGAGTTGTGTTGCAAGCCCTTGTGCCTTATGCTGGCAGACGAATCAGATCATGAAACTCTAACGGCAATCCTGAGCCCCCTCATAGCAGAAAGAGAGGCTATGAAAAACAGTGAGCTGCTGCTTGAAATGGGAGGCATCCTGAGAACATTCAGATTTGTCTTTAGGGGTACAGGATACGATGAGAAACTTGTGCGGGAAGTGGAAGGGCTGGAGGCCTCAGGTTCCACTTACATTTGTACCCTGTGTGATGCAACCCGCTTGGAGGCATCCCAAAATTTGGTCTTCCACTCCATAACCAGGAGCCATGCTGAAAATCTGGAGCGATATGAAATATGGAGGTCCAACCCATATCACGAATCTGTTGATGAGCTCCGTGACAGAGTGAAAGGTGTTTCAGCCAAACCTTTTATTGAGACTGTTCCCTCCATAGATGCATTGCACTGTGACATTGGCAATGCAACAGAATTCTACAGGATTTTCCAGATGGAGATTGGTGAACTTTACAAGAATCCCGATGTGTCTAAAGAGGAGAGGAAGAGGTGGCAATTGACTCTTGACAAACACCTCAGGAAGAAGATGAACTTGAAGCCTATGATGAAGATGAGTGGAAATTTTGCTAGAAAGCTCATGTCCAAAGAGGCAGTAGAGGCAGTATGTGAATTAATAAAGTGTGAGGAAAGGCATGAAGCCCTAAAAGAACTAATGGACCTTTATCTGAAGATGAAGCCAGTGTGGCGATCCTCATGCCCTGCCAAGGAGTGCCCAGAACTGCTGTGCCAGTATAGCTACAATTCACAGCGTTTTGCTGAGCTCTTATCTACAAAGTTCAAGTACAGATATGAAGGCAAGATTACAAATTATTTCCACAAAACACTTGCTCATGTTCCTGAAATCATTGAAAGAGATGGGTCCATAGGGGCCTGGGCAAGTGAAGGAAATGAGTCTGGAAACAAACTGTTTAGGAGGTTCCGAAAAATGAATGCCAGGCAGTCCAAATTCTATGAGATGGAGGATGTCTTGAAGCATCACTGGCTATATACCTCTAAGTACCTCCAGAAGTTCATGAATGCTCATAAAACATTAAAAAGCCAGAGCTTCACCATTGATTCAGAGGATAGTTTAGGTGACTCCTTGCCAGTGGAGGTCTTGGGGAAAAAATGATTCAGCAGTATTCTAAATGTAAACCACCTTTGGTGTTGGGTTTGTAATGATGTCCTTCTGCAAGGAAGCAGATTCTTTTTCAGATCTGCAGAGGTACAGGGAAGTCTGAAATGATCATTTTTACACTCCCTATCAAAGGTGCTGAGAGGAGTTTAATAAATGCTATGCCTGTTGGGAGTTTCCAAGAGACAATGCACTGGTGCATTTACTAGTTGTTAAATGACATGAAAGCAGAAACAAATTGCAAAGAAGGGTCTCCGTTTTGTTTTGTTCTTGAGTGTTGTTTCTAAGTGATAAAATCAAAGTAAACAAGGTTTTATAGAGATTATTATTTTGGAAGGAATATGATTCTGGAGAGTTAAGACAGTTGCTGAAAAAGGGAGCATGGCTGTTTGTTCTGTTTTACTTTTTAGAACTATTTTGCTATTTACTTTTCAAGAGGGTTTGATTATTTTATTGATGATTCTTTGGCTTTTATAAGCAAAGATTCATCAGTAAGACACTTGGATAATTGATTTGGCATAAAGTTCAGTTATTTTTGTATAAAATACTGACTAAAGATGCAAACTTTGATCTCATATGTTCTAAAAATATTATTCAACATATATATATTGTAGTACTGCTTAGGAGCAGATGGTGATATCACCGTGCTAATTTACTATATGAAGATATAGGAAAGGTAGCTGAAGTTTTCAAAATATATTTTTATCATAGCCTCTTTACTCTAAAATGCAAACTTGTTCTCCTAAGTCAGGATTTACAGTGCCTTGTGGTTATCTCATTATACAAAGCACATTCAAGGTCTGCTGTGTAGCTTACTGCTTCATGAGCATTTTAGATTTCTATGGTTACTTCAGTATATAGTACAATTTGTATTAGTATAGTTACATTGAATGAATTCCTGGCCTCACTGAAGTCACCAGTAAATCATCATTAATACCAGCAGGCCCACAGTTTCACCAAGTGACTTTAGTCATAGCAGTCTCATTTGTCAGAAGATGTTTATTACTTCAATAAGATAGATGCCAGTAGGATATTTCACTGACTGTTGCTGATGTACTCCAACTGTATCTGACACAGAGCTTTTTCATGCCTGGGATATAACACACTCACAGCCTCATTTTCCAAATATGTAAAAGAGGAATTATATCTATTTACCTCAAAGATAGTTGCATTCATGACTAGTTAAAAAGCAGTGAACTGTCTTGAAATTTCTGCATAACATATTTTACACTATTACTCAGTGTTTAGTTGGTATTTATCTTTCTGAAGTGATATTTAGTATATTCATATATTAAAATTATATTACTTTAATTCAATTACATATTCATGAAACATACTCAAGTACCTCAGATGCCCCAAAACCATCTGGCCTTTCAGATTTGCATCTGTAGCTAGGATATTACTCTGATTGGAGTAATATTTCTGAAACAAGATTAAATGCGGAAACAATCAAAGCATGGATCTAAAAGAATCTGCCTTTTTTTTTTTATTTTGATGTGGCAGAAGTTGGTTTCTGAGTGTAAGTGAACAACAAACTTAAAAGAATTAATGGTCTGAGGTTTGTTTCATAGTATAGTTTCTTTGAGGGTCTGGCATTTACCATTTATGGACAATGAAAAATAGAGTTAAGTGTTAGTAATTAATACAAATATTAGTGTATTCTAATTATGCCTTTCTTTTGGTTTTTATTAATTAAAATACTATTTTACAAGTATTCTGTAATTTAGGATTTTGGTTTAACATGGTTTCTTTAAACATAGTATAAATGTCAAACCTGCATTTGGAAACACAATGTCAAAACCTGCAGTTGGAAATAAGGCCTTTTTTCTTAGCAGTCATAAGGACTGCAGCATCTTTTGTATGGTGTACCCTGTATATCTGTATATCTGCACTTACTGACTGTTCATTTCAAGATTAATTTTCTTAAAAAATTTCTTTGAAAACAAGTATTTCTCATATAGCATATCAACTAGTTTTATGTAAGTATCATTCTTTACCAATAAATGTAGATCACAAATACAACTGTTTCCCATGGAGTATAAATATGAGGTAGAAAGAAAATCTTTTAGCATTAAATGCAGATACAGTTTTCATTTTTGGTCAACATATATTTCATTATACAGATAGTTGCACACTTTTCTTTTTTCTCTTTATGTGTATTTGGGACAACTGTATTACCTTATGTTTTATCCTTGACTTTGCTTGAATAAATTAGGGGTTTGTTTAATAATCTCAACTCATTTCATGGTGATTTTCACTCCATTTAAGTGATGTATATAATTTTTGTTGCCTTTTGCATAGGAATGAATTTCACCCCCACATAATCCAAACTCGTCCATTACAATGAATATGTATTGTGGAATGACAGACCAGACTTTGTTAATTTTGCACATGCAATTTCAGTGACTCTGTTAACATTTTCAAATTCCAAATTCAATTTAACAGGCTGCTGATGTAACAGCAAGTGATTTGTCTCACTATCTTCAAAAGGGTTGAGTAAGTTTTATCCTTACATGTATGATTTCTTAAGACAAGCCTTATATCCTGGGGTAACTCATCAGACTGAACAAAACCTGGATGGGGACAGAGAAATGCAGTGGGACGTGAAAGTATTCTTTTGTGAAATATTATTAAGCCATAAAGACACATTTCACATTCTACCAGCTCTGGGCAGGATAGCTGACACAGAGAAGTACTACTATTTTTTTTCTTTTCTGTTTTTTTTAGATTTGAGTCTAGTTTAATCTTCTATTTCCCCATTGTTGACATCTTCTGTAAATCAGTTGAGAATTTTGAGCTCATTAGAACAAACAGTACTGAAAGGGTAGGTACCTTCAAGTACAAGCTTTTGTAAACAGAGCTAAAATAACAATGCTGCATGCACTGAGCCATGCATTGGAGAGCAAACAAATCCTGACTGCAGACAGGTGCATCATTTGGTTATGCAGCCTATTGTTAAGCTTTCTGATTTTGAAGAGGCTTTAGAAATATGGAGACACTTCTATTCATGGTATTCTTTCAAACCTCCACATTTTCTTTTTTACATTAATAATTGGTACAAATCCTTCAGTAATTAATGGTAAATAATTACCATCTTGTTATGAAGTTATATTGGCTGTAATTTTTATACAATCACATTATGTTTCTTGTTTTGTTTTATTCGAGGGCTTTGTATTGTGGATTGTCATGTTATGAAATAATGTGAACTATGTTAGAAGCCATGATCCATGTATCATATTTTTTTTTCTCACAGGAATAATTCCATTATTAATTAATTATTAATTATTAATTAAAGCAAATAAACTTTGACTTTTAGTCAGGTAGTTCAGAAACAAATTCTAGATATTTACAGCATCCTAATTTCTGACTACATTGAGTTCTTCGCTTTGTCTCACTGATGATCTCAAAATTTTACTTTTTCTTAATGTATTACAGTTTCCTAATTAATTTCCTAATTCAGTTTAAAATAAAGATCTTATAAATATTTACGCTTCTGACTTCTGATTTCTTAACAGTTTTTCAACAATGCACATAATTTCATGGTACCAGTCTTACTTTTCATTCAAATTCTGGATGTTTTTCATAGTTAGGCTGTTCTAATACCCAGAGGCAGCTGTGATTCCAGCCCTGTTCTGGAACTCACTGAATTAACACAAATGAAGATTCCTCTGTGAGTCTCAGCACTACTTTCAGCACCCTTCCTCACAGGCAACCGTGTGACAGAAAAATAAACTGATATAAACCCAGTTTTATTTAGTCTGTAAATGGCTTTTGCTTCATTTAAAAATACCATCCCAGATTTTATCTGAAATCAGCCTTGCACTGTTATCTACATGATGAAACATTAAGTCTCTATACTGGTTTCTGTGCATCCCTTGCATCAAATTTTGACTCCTTGTCAGAGACTGAGCTGTAAAGATTAGTTCCAATCTACCTTTCAGTTCATTATTTGAAGTTAACCTTTATTCTACTTCAGAAAAATCTTTCTTTCTTCCCTACAATGATATTTCTGGGTTAAAAGATTTATGTAAACAAACTGGTTTGGACAGAACTAATGATGAGCAAATTAAGCTACCTGATTTCCTTGTGTAATCAGATAATCAGACATCTCATATCTGCACTTTATATCACCAACTTATTTTTTCATCTGACCTCAAATAAAAAAAATGTTGGATGGAAAAAACCAGAACTCATATAAAACCAAAAAACAAGCCTGAGAGAGTTTTCTGGTAATGATTTAACTCCTTTACTCCTAAATCTGTAATAACTGACTGAATTTTCCTTTCCATGTATTCCTATTGGGATCAGATGAAGAATGAGGCCTGTCCCTGCTCTTCTTCAGAGTACTGTTTTAGAGGACTGAATATGGTATAATTTTCCAACAGCTGACCAGCTGCAACTCTGTTTTCTTAAGTGTTTAAGGAGTTTTTCTACTTTTGCATCAAGCTTAATATTGTTCATGATACAAAAAGACACATTAGGAAGGATTTAATTAGCACCTTTCCTAGCAGCATCAGGAGAGAGGTCAAGATGTGTGTTTTCAATGCCCAGCTCTTCCTCTGGAGATGGGCACTCTGAGCAAGTGGACAAGGGAATACACAAACGAGGTTCTGCACATCTGTGGCAGTGACCAGTGCCCTGTTTTTCCTGTGTATGTATATGGATATGTGTATAGAAATCAGAAAGTTTATATGGTTATTGCCTTGCTTTTTTAAATTAAAAATCCCTCTGGTGTCACAGTTTTCGAAGTAGAGACAACAACTACAGTTTGATTTTCAGAGGCTCAAGGCTTTCCCAAAATTTAAGTCTTGTTTGAAATGGAATAGAATACAAAATCAAATATGGAGGGAGGTATAGCCACCAATCATTAAAAAAAAAAAAGAAGTAAGGCAATCCTTTTGTCTTTAATACATAGGGTCTAGGAGTAAATAACTTTACAGATTCCATTTCAATCTGAATTCAATATTTTCCTTTTGATTTAGGCTCCCGGTTGCATTATTTCCACTCATTCCAATGGTCTATTGGTACAATGAGTCACTCTGAACTACGACACATGCTTTAGTGCTCCCACTAGTTTGTGCTGTGCCTTTGCTGTAGATTAATCAGGTACTTCAAGGTCCAAGCACCTTTCAATACTAGTAAAATTCATATATTATTCTCATAAAAGCTGATAATAGCAGTACAGTATTACTAAAATGTATCTGGGAACCATGATGCTGTATGTTGTGGTTACAAAACACACAGGTCAGTTGAACGCAGATACAATAGAGATGTATTTCTGCACTCAAATCTACTTCATTTTATCTGCTAATTCTAACCTGCCTGAGCAAGAAACATCTTGTATTGATTAGCTGGTTTCGAAGACAATGGATGCTTTTAAAGTACATGACTCAGTAAATTAAGTACTTTCTGCAGTCTTGAATGCTATGTCAAGTGTCTTCTTTACAGGCTGAAGTTCATATATCTCTTTATGTTCGAGTGCTTTCAAATGCTTTATATTTTACTTACAACTTCCTCTTTCTGCAGTAACTACAGTCTCTGAGCTGTGATTTAATGCTGTTTGTACAGCCCTTCACTGTGAGGCTGGGACATGGTTTAGCCAAGCAATTTCTCCCTCCTACTCAAATAAACCACACATTTTAAGAAAGCACAGCTCAAATATATAATACACTAATGTTATGGGCCCAATGAGGTATAACATAAA